GTAGTACTTGTAGTACTTGTAGTACTTGTAGTACTTGTAGTAGTAGTAGTAGTAGTACCTCTTGGTGTTGTGGACGTGGGTTCGTCACAGTCCTGTAGTAGTACTTGTAGTACTTGTAGTAGTACTTGTAGTAGTAGTAGTAGTAGTAGTACCTCTTGGTGTTGTGGACGTGGGTTCGTCACAGTCCTGTAGTAGTACTTGTAGTACTTGTAGTACTTGTAGTACTTGTAGTAGTAGTAGTAGTAGTACCTCTTGGTGTTGTGGACGTGGGTTCGTCACAGTCCTGTAGTAGTACTTGTAGTACTTGTAGTACTTGTAGTAGTAGTAGTAGTAGTACCTCTTGGTGTTGTGGACGTGGGTTCGTCACAGTCCTGTAGTAGTACTTGTAGTACTTGTAGTACTTAGTAGTAGTAGTAGTAGTAGTACCTCTTGGTGTTGTGGACGTGGGTTCGTCACAGTCCTGTAGTAGTACTTGTAGTACTTGTAGTAGTAGTAGTAGTAGTAGTAGTAGTAGTACCTCTTGGTGTTGTGGACGTGGGTTCCTCCCAGCACCAGCCGGACGCCTGGACAGGTTCTGTTCAGGTTGTAAACGCTCAGAGCTTCTTCATACGTCGCTCCTCCAACCATGAAAACCACGATGTCCTGAGGCCTACGACAAGAACCACACTGAACCCACACGGAACCGACAAGAACCCACACGGAACCCACACGGAACCGACAAGAACCCACACTGAACCCACACGGAACCGACAAGAACCCACACTGAACCCACACGGAACCGACAAGAACCCACACTGAACCCACACGGAACCGACAAGAACCCACACGGAACCGACAAGAACCCACACTGAACCCACACACGACGAACCACAAGAACCCACACGGAACCCAACACACGGAACCACACTGAACCCACACGGAACCGACAAGAACCCACACTGAACCCACACGGAACCGACAAGAACCCACACTGAACCCACACGGAACCCACAAGAACCCACACTGAACCCACACGGAACCGACAAGAACCCACACTGAACCCACACGGAACCGACAAGAACCCACACTGAACCCACACGGAACCGACAAGAACCCACACGGAACCCACACGGAACCGACAAGAACCCACACGGAACCGACAAGAACCCACACTGAACCCACACGGAACCGACAAGAACCCACATGGAACCCACACGGAACCGACAAGAACCCACACGGAACCGAAAAGAACCCACACGGAACCGACAAGAACCCACACTGAACCCACACGGAACCGACAAGAACCCACATGGAACCCACACGGAACCGACAAGAACCCACACGGAACCGAAAAGAACCCACACGGAACCGACAAGAACCCACACTGAACCGACAAGAACCCACACAGAACCCACACGGAACCGACACGGAACCAACACGGAACCGACACTGTCTCACCTGTCGTTTCACCTGTCTCACCTGTCGTTTCACCTGTCTCACCTGTCGTTTCACCTGTCTCACCTGTCGTTTCACCTGTCTCACCTGTCGTTTCACCTGTCTCACCTGTCTCGGAGGCTGCTGGGGCCCAGGTCCCTGTCTCACCTGTCGTTTCACCTGTCGTTTCACCTGTCTCACCTGTCGTTTCACCTGTCGTTTCACCTGTCTCACCTGTCTCGGAGGCTGCTCACCTGTCGTCACCTGTCTCACCTGTCGTCCCTGTTCACCTGTCTCTGCTGTCACCTGTCTCACCTGTCTCACCTGTCTCACCTCACCGTCGTTTCACCTGTCTCACCTGTCTCGGAGGCTGCTGGGGCCCAGGTCCCTGTCTCACCTGTCGTTTCACCTGTCTCACCTGTCGTTTCACCTGTCTCACCTGTCTCGGAGGCTGCTGGGGCCCAGGTCCCTGTCTCACCTGTCGTTTCACCTGTCTCACCTGTCGTTTCACCTGTCTCACCTCACCTGTCGTTTCACCTGTCGTTTCACCTGTCTCACCTGTCTCGGAGGCTGCTGGGGCCCAGGTAGGGGAACTGAGCGTCTTTGAGTCGTCCTTTGATCAGTTGGTCCAGTGTGTCCTGGAGCAGCGGCTGATGCTGCGTGTAAACGTTCTCCACCCCCTGAAACAGAACCAGAACTCAACCAGGACTCAACCAGGACCGGACCAGGACCGGACCAGGACCAGGACCGGACCGGGCCTAAACCGGGTCTAAACCAGGACTTGCCTTGAGTCCTTTGAAGAACTGTTTGGTGATGGCGACGGCGTCTGTGGCGGTGATGAGGTCACTTCCTCTGACACGTTTCCCGCCGAACTCCACCACACGAGAAACCATCTGAAAAACACCGCAATAAAACTTTAAACCCAGAAAACACCGCACTGTCTCTTTAAGGCAGATGTTTTCTGGTGTGTTTTGGTTGGTCGTGTTTGGTCGTGTGTTGGTCGTGTGTTGGTGTGTTTGGTCGTGTTTTTGGTCGTGTTTTGTCGTGTTTTGGTCGTGTTTGGTCGTGTTTTGGTCGTGTTTGGTCGTGTTTTGGTCGTGTTTGGTCGTGTTTTGGTCGTCGGTGTCGTGTGTTGGTCGTCGTGTTGGTCGTGTTTGGTCGTCGTGTTTTGGTCGTGTTTTGGTCGTGTTTTGGTCGTGTTGGTCGTGGTTGGTCGTGTGTTGGTCGTGTTTTGGTCGTGTGTTTGTCGTGTTTTGGTCGTGTTTGGTCGTGTTTTTGGTCGTGTTGTTGGTCGTGTTGGTTGTGTGTTTGGTCGTGTTTTGGTCGTGTTTTGGTCGTGTTTTGGTCGTGTTTTGGTCGTGTTTTGGTCGTGTGGTCGTGTGTTTGGTCGTGTGTTGGTCGTGTTTTGGTCGTGTGTTGGTCGTGTGTTGGTCGTGTTTTGGTCGTGTTTTGGTCGTGTTTTGGTCGTGTTTTGGTCGTGTTTTAGTCGTGTTTTGGTCGTGTTTTGGTCGTGTTTTGGTCGTGTTTTGGTCGTGTTGGTCGTGTTTTGGTCGTGTTTTGGTCGTGTTTTGGTCGTGTGTTGGTCGTGTTTTGGTCGTGTTTTGGTCGTTTTGGTCGTGTTTTGGTCGTGTGTTGTCGTGTGTTGGTCGTCGTGTTTGGTCGTGTTGTTTTGGTCGTGTTTTTGGTCGTGTTTTGGTCGTGTTTGGTCGTGTGTTGGTCGTGTTGGTCGTGTTCGTGTTTTGGTCGTGTTTTGGTCGTGTTGTTGGTCGTGTTTTGGTCGTGTTTTGGTCGTGTTTTGGTCGTGTGTTGGTCGTGTTTTGGTCGTGTTTTGGTCGTGTGTTTTGGTCGTGTGTTGGTCGTGTTTTGGTCGTGTTTTGGTCGTGTTTTGGTCGTGTGTTTTGGTCGTGTTGGTCGTGTTTGGTCGTGTTTTGGTCGTGTGTTGGTCGTGTGTTGGTCGTGTTTTAGTCGTCGTTTTGGTCGTGTTTGGTCGTGTTTGTTGTTGGTCGTGTGTTGGTCGTGTTTTGGTCGTGTTTTGGTCGTGTTTTGGTCGTGTGTTGGTCGTGTTTTGGTCGTGTTTGGTCGTGTGTTGGTCGTGTTTTAGTCGTGTTTTGGTCGTGTGTTGGTCGTGTTTTGGTCGTGTTTTGGTCGTGTTTTGGTCGTGTTTTGGTCGTGTTTGGTCGTGTGTTGGTCGTGTTTTGGTCGTGTTTTTGGTCGTGTTTTGGTCGTGTTTGGTCGTGTTTTGGTCGTGTTTTGGTGTTTTTTTCGTGTTTCGTGTTTTTGGTCGTGTGGTCGTGTGTTGGTCGTGTTGTTTGGTCGTGTTTTGGTCGTGTTTTGGTCGTGTTTTGGTCGTGTTTTGTCTTGGTCGTGTTTTAGTTTTAGTCGTGTTTTGGTCGTGTTTTGGTCGTGTTTTGGTCGTCGTGTGTTGGTCTTGGTCGTGTTTTGGTCGTGTTTTGGTCGTGTTTTGGTCGTGTTTTGGTCGTGTTTTGGTCGTGTTTTAGTCGTGTTTTAGTCGTGTTTTGGTCGTGTTTTGGTCGGGTCTTTACCTGCGCGGCGTTGCCGTGGTCGCTCTGACACGCCAGCTCCTGCTCCACCTCGGACACTTCCATCAGGAGCCTCTCGGACACGAGCCTGGACAGTTCCCCCACCACCGTCACGTGTTTGGAAACCGTCCCAGACATTTTCTTAAACTGAGGATACGTCTCCACAAACGCCTGAGACCAGAGACCGGAGACCAGGGTTAGACCACAGACCGGACCACAGACCGGACCACAGACCGGACCACGGACCGGACCACGGACCGGACCACGGACCGGACCACGGACCGGACCACAGACCGGACCACAGACCAGACCAGAGAGACCAGGGTTAGACCACGGACCGGACCACGGACCGGACCACGGACCGGACCACGGACCGGACCACGGACCGGACCACGGACCGGACCAGAGACCGGACCACAGACTGGACCAGAGAGACCAGGGTTAGACCAGAGACCACATCTGTGACCCTGACTCTGGCACATGAAGCAACTTTATGAATACAGAGAAGCACGAAGAACTGAAGAGGAGGAGGTCAGGAGGTGGAGAGGAGGAGGTCAGGAGGAGGTCAGGAGGAGGTCAGGAGGAGGTCAGGAGGTGGAGAGGAGGAGGAGTCAGGAGGAGGTCAGGAGGTGGAGAGGAGGAGGTCAGGAGGAGGAGGAGGTCAGGAGGAGTTACCTTCATGTCGGAGATGGACTCCAGCTTCTGTTGTCCTTTGGGACGTTTCTTCTGAAAATCCTCCATCAGGTTTTTGATGTTTGTCCCGATTTCCCCGAAGTTCAAGTACAAGTTCTACAAGAAACAAACCGTCAGATGCCCTCCCCTTGTGTTGTTGTTGTGTTGTTGTTGTTGTTGTTGTTGTGTGTTGTTGTTGTTGTGTTGTGTTGTTGTGTTGGTGTTGTTGTGTAGTGTTGTTGTGTTGTTGTTGTGTGTTGTTGTTGTGTTGTTGTGTTGTTGTTGTGTAGTGTTGTTGTTGTGTTGTTGTGTTGTTGTTGTGTTGTTGTGTTGTGTTGTGTTGTGTGTGTGGTGTTGTGTTGTTGTGTTGTTGTTGTTGTTGTTGTGTTGTTGTTGTGTAGTGTGTTGTTGTGTTGTGTTGTTGTGTTGTGTTGTTGTTGTGTAGTGTTGTTGTGTAGTGTTGTTGTTGTGTTGTTGTTGTTGTTGTTGTTGTTGTGTGTTGTTGTGTGTAGTGTTGTTTTGTGTGTGTTTGTGTGTTGTTGTGTTGTTGTGGTGTTGTTGTTGTGTAGTGTTGTTGTGTAGTTGTTGTTGTTGTTGTGTTGTGTTGTGTTGTGTTTGTTGTGTTGTTGTTGTTGTGTTGTGTGTTGTTGTTGTTGTGTGTTGTTGTTGTTGTTGTGTAGTGTTTGTTGTGTTGTGTTGTGTTTGTGTTGTGTGTTGTTGTGTAGTGTTGTTGTGTTGTTGTTGTTGTTGTTGTTGTTGTTGTTGTGTTGTTGTTGTGTTGTGTTGTTGTTGTGTATGTGTTGTTGTGTAGTGTTGTTGTTGTGTGTTGTTGTTGTTGTGTGTTGTTTGTTGTGTAGTGTGTTGTTGTGTGTTGTTGTTGTTGTAGTGTTGTTGTGTTGTGTGTTGTTGTTGTTGTTGTTGTTGTTGTGTGTTGTTGTGTGTGTTGTGTGTGTGTTGTTGTTGTGTTGTTGTGTTGTGTTGTGTTGTTTGTAGTGTTGTTGTGTTGTGTTGTGTTGTTGTTGTGTTGTGTGTTGTTGTTGTTGTTGTGTTGTGTTGGTGTTGTTGTTGTGTTGTGTTGTTGTGTAGTGTTGTTGTAGTGTTGTTGTTGTGTTGTTGTGTTGTGTTGTTGTGTGTGTTGGTGTTGTGTTGAGTTGTTGTTGTGTTGTTGTGTGTTGTGTGTTGTGTTGTTGTTGTGTTGTTTGTTGTGTTGTTGTTGTTGTTGTTGTTGTGTGTTGTTGTGTGTTGTTGTGTTGTTGTTGTGTAGTGTTGTTGTGTTGTTGTTGTTGTTGTTGCGTTGGCGTCTCACGTTGGCGTAGAACTCGTCGTTGTCGGCGCACAGAACCACCTCCTTCAGGTCTTTACTGACGCCAGGAACTCGAGACAAGTCGATTCGATTATTATTCAAACCCAACAACTCGTGAACCATCGCCTGGTACGTCCACTGAAAACACACAACACACACACACACCACGCACAACTGTTACACACAACTGTTACACACACCACGCACAACTGTTACACACACCACGCACAACTGTTACACACACCACGCACGACTGTTACACACACCACGCACAACTGTTACACACACCACGCACAACTGTTACACACAACTGTTACACACACCACGCACAACTGTTACACACAACTGTTACACAAAAGTTCTGCACTTTTCCAAAAGGTGAATACTTGAATCTGATTGGTCGAAGTGTCACAGCAACAGAACAAAGTTTATTTAATCCAGCACCTGTCACCTGCCCCTGTGCACCTGCCCCTGTGCACCTGCCCCTGTGCACCTGCCTGGCTGTTACCTGGTTGAGCAGGGGGTGGGGGGTTTGGCTGTTACCTGGTTGAGCAGGGGGGGTTGGCTGTTACCAGGTTGAGCGGGGGGTGGGGGGTTGGCTGTTACCTGGTTGAGCAGGGGGGTTGGCTGTTACCTGGTTGAGCAGGGGTGGGGGTTTGGCTGTTACCTGGTTGAGCGGGGGGGTTTGGCTGTTACCTGGTTGAGCAGGGGGGGTTGGCTGTTACCTGGTTGAGCAGGGGGGTGATGGCGTCGTCGCTCCTGTCGAGGATCAGGAGCAGGGGGGGGACCTCGGTCTTTCTGAAGTCAAACAGCTCGTACTCTTTAGTGATGATTTGCTGAAAAACACACAAACAGACACACACACAAAAACACACACAAACAAACATACAAACACATTTAAAACATTTCACTAGAAACACAGAGTGTTTTGGTGTAGTTTGGTGTAGTTTGGTGTAGTTTGGTGTAGTTTGGTGTAGTTTGGTGTAGTTTGGTGTAGTTTGGTGTTTTGGTGTGGTTTGGTGTAGTTTGGTGTAGTTTGGTGTGGTTTGGTGTGGTTTGTGTAGTTTGTGTAGTTTGGTGTAGTTTGGTGTAGAGTTGTGTAGAGTTTGGTGTAGTTTGGTGTAGAGTTGTGTAGTTTGGTGTAGAGTTGTGTAGTTTGGTGTAGTTTGGTGTAGTTTGGTGTAGTTGTGTAGTTTGGTGTAGTGTAGTTTGGTGTAGTTGTGTAGTTGGTGTAGTGTGTTGTGAGTTTGGTGTTGTGTAGTTTGTGTAGTTTGGTGTAGTTTGGTTTGTAGTTTGGTGTAGTTTGGTGTAGAGTTGTGTAGTTTGGTGTAGTTTGGTGTAGAGTTGTGTAGTTGTGTAGTTTGGTGTAGAGTTGTGTAGTTTGGTGTAGTTTGGTGTAGAGTTGTGTAGTTTGGTGTAGAGTTGTGTAGTAGTTGTGTAGTTTGGTGTAGTTTGGTGGTGTAGTTTGGTGTAGAGTTGTGTAGTTTGGTGTAGTTTGGTGTAGTTTGGTGTAGTTTGGTGTAGAGTTGTGTAGTTTGTTGTGTAGTTTGTAGTTTGGTGTAGTTTGTGTAG